TATCTGTGGAATTGAACACATTTCTGTGGAGCGGTACATATTTTGGTTACAATCATATCGAACTCCATAAATAATGCATACATACAAGCTAAACAAGTAATATACATGATAAACAGAACAGATACTGGATATTTGCAACAAAAACAATTAAGCAAGGTGACTGATAATAACATCAATAAATTTACCTTAAAAAAATTTGCAACAATTTGTCCTTAGGTGCCTACTGCAGATCCCCAAGCTCCCTTTCTCTCTACACCACAGTATACAGAAGGTTTAGCTAAATAGCTGCTGATGTCGACCACCCATTAAGAGAAAGACTACTTTTAATGAATGGTCAGTGGTAGGCTAATAGTGTCAGCTGACAATCTCAGCTTATATATCTTAGCCTATAACAAGGCATCCGGCTAAACCTTCCTCATACTGCAGAGGTGAAGGCGATGAATCCAGTGAGCTGAAGAACCAGGTCCCTAATTTCAGGGTTAAACTCTATAACCACTAAAGCTAAGACAGCAACCAGACACTCCTGACTCATTGTTAGAGGGTAGGGGTATGTTCCTTTAAATTACTGGTGGAGAAAAAGTGGTAGTCTAGCTATTGATGAACTACAACTTTAACAGTGCTCTGTCCATTTATGAATGAAGGGTTAATGAAGGAATTTGCAACATGGCTGGCAAAGCATCATGGAAGTATAGTTCTTTATCGACTGGAAATTTAAATTGATGCTATCCTTTTGCTAAATGAATCTGACTGAATGGGCCCAAATATAAGTGCTTTGTTGCATGAGCAATTAATTATCATTAGTACTTAAAAAAAATCACTAGATATAATATACAGAGCATGCAGCAGGACCAGCTCATTTACAGTGCACAGGAGACTGACATTCTATTTTCTACAAACAACATCGACAACATTGCAACACCTCCTGTCTTCGATGACCAATGAGCAACATAACGTATGACATAATTAAGTAAGCAAACACAAAGAAGCAAACTAATATAATAAAACTGCAGATATATGGCCTCATGTTCCATATTTGAAGCAACGATATATAAAATTATTCCAATATTTATTGTGAAGAAAACACTATCTAACTCTCATAAATAAATAATTCATAAACATTACTGTAAAAAAAACACAGTTTACATTAATGTCTTATCACAGTACAATAACCAGATATAGACTAACAATGCTTGAGGCTACAAGGTCATTGATGGGTTGGAATATGGTTACTCGGTAGCACTGCTTTGAAGACAGGCTACAGCCTAAAGCATGTACTGTGCTCACTCTCTTTAATTCAATTTCAGTTTCAAGTACAACATCAGCAAATGTGTCTTGCATTTTGTTGATCCCAAACAAACAGCAAGTTCAATCTGCCATCAAACTCAAATTTATTAAGGGATTATGCCAATTGGGTATCAGCTAGTCCACCTTAGATTAAATAGAAGACAGCACACTCACCTTCAGGCTCTCCGCACAATGTACACTGAGACTCTGCAAAACAAAAGATAAAAAAAACGTTGTGACAATTGCTTTTTTAAGAGTTTAGCAGTGTCTTAGCAATTCCTTATGGACAGAAGAACAATCAGTTATTTCTCACTGGAGAACGTAATAATACTTTTTACCTGGGTATAGTCGTAAACACAAAGACAAGAAAAAGACTATCACATCCAAAACGTACAGACTATCAATATGTTTAGCTAAATACAATTTTATAACATGACAGGAGGCTTCCTATTTTGCATTAACTCTCTTTACTAAACTCCACAGCAGTAAAGAAAACGTAAAGAGTAACAAATAAATCACTGAGCAGCATAGTATATAAGGGTCATGCTGCCTGTACACTTCCTCTTTCTTTACTGCTCCATCGCAGACAGGTCAGAATATTTGCTCCCCTGGAGCTTTCTACATTTATTGTCATTTCTTTTGTTCCATATATATATTTCAAACATATTTTCTCACTTGTTTACATCCTTTTATTTCTATTTCCTATCTTCATCAGGGCTGTGGGACTAGGGGCTCTCTGTGGGTCTTTTCTGCCCCTATTTGCCCCTCTATACCTCCTGGGACCCTCCCTTGGCTTCCCCTTGGTCCCCCCAGGTTCCCCCACTGCCCCCCTTCCCTGGAGTGCCCTCCTGGGCTCCCTCCTTGCGGCCGGTTTCATTCGCGGCCGTTTTCGCGCCGGCCCGCTTCCATCCGCGGCCGGCCTCAAAATTTAGTCCCCGGCTTGCGGCCTACCTCGCGGCCGCCATTTTGGATCGCGGACATCGCGAGATTCTCGCGGCCATCTTAGTTTTGCCTCGTGCATCTCATTAGGGACTCAGTGTGGCTGTGCTAGCTTGCTGGTACCTCTGAAACTGCTGTTTTCCTCACCTTTTATGTCTAACACCATCTGTGACTATAGGATTACCTACTCAAGCACCCCATCTGCTGCTTTCAACCTGCTACTCAGTCTGTGCCTCATCTGCTTCTATCAAGCTATCCTGTGGCTGGGTCAGTCAGGTCAGTGCTGCTGCCTGTTTATTATTACTGTGACCTGCACTTAAGGGTCCCAACCCTGTGCAACCGGGGTGAGCCCCCACTATAAAGACGCTGCTTACTGGGAGACTAGCTGTTGCAGTTCTCTCTAACTGGGTGAGCCCCAGTTTATAAGGTCACTACTATACCCTGCTGGGGTTATTCTGGGCTTGCTCCCACAATACTTTCAAATCTGACCCTACGCCTACTACCAAGACCTGGGTGCCTGTTTATTACTGTGCCTTTCAATAATTTATAGCCTACCCTACCATGGAAGATTCCCAGAATGTCCCTGTGGACTTCCAGGCCATGATTAACGCAGCTGTCGCTGCCTCTGTGGAGAAGGCACTCTCCAAGGCCCGAGCTTCGGCTCCTGACGTACCTAAACGTAGACGTCCACGCCACGAGTCGGAATCTGAATTGTCCGACCACCAGGCACGGGAGGATTCCCGCCCTAAAAAGCGCCATGACAAAGGCGAAGATTGCACACCCAAACCAACTAAGGGTAAGGCACCTGCCAAGCACAAGTCTGCCAAATTACACACCCCGGCCCCGCGTCAGGAGTACTCTTCTGACGAAGAGCAAGAAGCCCAGTCCATGTCAGTGCTGGATGAATGGCAAGCTGACGCCTCTGACTCGGACTACGACGCATGGGGTTCGGACGAGAAATCTGTCTCCGCTTTCATGCGAGAGACTCTCCTGGGTGCGGCCCAGACAGGAGGTGTCGAGGACACTGCGGACGCAGAACCTCCTCTTGATTCAGACACCATCTTGGACCCCTCAGGCCAAGTGATGTTCGACCCCCGCAACATTCGGCACCCCAGGTCGGGTGACTGGTCGCCTCCTGAACACCTTTCTAGGTTTATGCACCTGTGGCTCCGCAAACCTCTGGAGAAAGAGGTCCGCAGCCGACTCAGGTCAGAATGCCCACGCCCTTCCCTGCCGGATAAGGTCGCGCAGACCCCGGAATTCGACAAGGTTATGTCAACCTTCATGATGCGCAGTGGTAGAGACCCTCGCCGAGGGGTGGAGAAAGGCCTATGGGGCGCCCAAGATAACCTGCTGGATTCTGTAGGCCCCCTGGCTCGCATTATGTATTTGGCGGATGATGCCTACACCAAAGCCGATTCCTTCTCCGCTGAGGACATCAGGGAATGGGCACATGATGTTCGTGAGTGGGCACAACGGTGTTTTTGTTTCATCGGAAACACTAACGTTACGCTCTCTTCGGAGAGAAGAAAAGCAGCGTTGTACCGTATTAACGGCAAACTGGCAGACCTTGGCACAAAGGAGATAGGGCCCCAGGCACAAGGGAAATTATTTGGCGAACCGTTCCTCAAGGAACTCAACAAACACGTGAACGTGTTCACCTCCCTTAACAAGGCGCAGTCCTCAATGCGCAGAGTGTTCAGAAGCAACCCTACCAGAGGGGTTTTTGGAAGGGCTGGCCGGCAACGGGGCCGTGCCGCCAGCCGATTTTGGCCTTCAGGCCCCCGTACCCAACCAACACCGTTTTACCCGACAAGGGACTACCGGCAACAACCCTTTTCCAGAGGCTCGGACAGAGGTCGTGGACCCCGCGGACGCGGACGTTCCCGCTTTGCTGCAGGTAAGGACCCACATTCCTCCACTGTTACCATGTACCCGCACTGCGGGCCGTATTTCCCTTTCTTTCCAGAATTGGGCCGCCCTATGCTCAGACACATGGATCCTACAAACTGTTCAGGGATATATCATAGACCTAGTGGGGAACCCCTCTCAGGTTCAGCCCCCTCCCCCCATCCACATGTCATCCTCCGACCACAACCTCGTCAACGCGGAGCTACGCGAGCTCCGAGACAAAGGGGCTATCCAGCCGGTCCGCGACGGGGGTGGTTACTTCAGCAACATCTTCCTGGTTCGGAAAAAGTCGGGAGAATACCGCCCCGTCATCAATCTACGCGCCCTCAACGCATATGTGGTCTACCGCCACTTCAAGATGGAAGGCATCCACCTCCTGCGAGACCTTCTTCGAAGCAACGACTGGTTCACCAGGCTCGATCTAAAGGACGCATATCTGTCAGTCCCGGTACACCCGGACTGTCGAGCACTCCTACGTTTCCTCTGGCACGGACGCCCTTGGCAATTCACTTGCCTCCCTTTCGGGCTCAGCTCAGCCCCATGGTGCTTCACCAAACTCCTAAAACCAGTGGTGGCCCACCTAAGATCAAGGGGCATTCGATGCATCATCTACTTAGACGATCTCCTCATCTTCTGCGCCGACGAACACAGACTACGCCAACACACTCACCTGGCAGTATCCCTACTGGAGTCTTTGGGTTTCGTGGTAAACCAACAGAAATCGGAGCTGACCCCTACCCAGACGATACAATTCCTCGGCTTCGAGATCGACTCGACAACTTGCACTCTGAGGCTACCAGCCTCAAAAATCACAGCCATTCGCAAGGAGATTCGCAGGGTTCTTCGTCTCGACTCCATTCCACTATGCAATCTAGCCAGGATTGTAGGACTCCTCTCTGCCTCCATTCAGGCCATATTTCCGGGTCCCCTCCACTACAGGGCCATGCAACGTCTCAAGGCGAAATACCTACGCCGCAAGCCTACTTACGACCAACCCGTCCCGGTGACGACGGAGGTCCGCGAGGAACTATCGTGGTGGCTGGACAGTATGCAAGCCTGGAACGGCAGGGCCATATTCGGAGACGCTCCAGACTTCGTACTGGAATCAGACGCCAGCCTGTGGGGATGGGGTGCCACCAACGGAACCATCTCCACGGGGGGAACATGGACGACGCAGGAGCTCTCCATGCACATCAATTGCCTCGAACTCCTGGCAGGATCCTTCGCGATTCGCAGCTTGGCCCGGGAAAGATCCAACTGCTGCATCCTCCTGCGCATGGACAATGTATCCGCAGTCCAGTACATCAACCGCCTGGGAGGCGCTCGCTCTCGCCTGCTGTCGGATATCACGAAAGGCATTTTCGACTATTGCCTCCCTCGCAACATCACGCTACAGGCAGAATACTTGCCAGGAGAAATCAATCTCACAGCCGACTGGTTCTCTCGCCACTGGAGAGACGTCAGCGACTGGAAGCTAAACACGAGAATCTTCAGGGCCCTTGCAGCCCGGAGGGGTCCCTTTCACCTGGATCTGTTTGCCTCTCGCAACAATCACCAGACCCCGGAGTTCTTCAGCTGGCTCCCGGACCCGGAGAGCAAGGCGACAGACGCATTTCTCCAACTATGGCCGTCGACAGGAGCCTACGCTTTTCCCCCATTCTCCATGATTGCGAGAACACTACACCAGATACGGACGCAACAGATCAAACTGGTTGTCATAGCGCCCTTGTGGCAGAGCCAACCATGGTTCCCGGACCTCCTGGCCTCCTCCTACAGGGACCCTCTTCTCCTACCATCCTTCCCGGACCTACTCACGGATCCCAAAGGGCATCTCCACCCACTACTCCTGGAAGACCGGCTACCCCTGGTGGCTTGGTCTCTTTCCGGGGTTCCTGGCGAGTCAGCGGACTATCGCAGGCTGCTAGGGACCTCTTATGGGACTCATGGGCCCCGGGAACTAGACGCTGTTACCTTTCAGCTTGGACCTCCTGGTCTACTTGGTGCATGGAACGGGACTCCGATCCCTTTACAGCACCTATTCCCATGATTCTTAATTTTCTCTCCTCCTTGTTTTCATCTGGCCGCTCTTACCGTTCGGTCAACGTCGTGCGCTCCGCGATTTCGGCGGCTCACACCCCCGTCGGGGATCTCCCGGTCGGCAAAGACCCTCTGGTCTGCCGTCTACTCCGCGGTATGCGGCTCCGCCGTCCCCCGGCCCCCAGATACCCTCACCTATGGGATGTGGGACTGGTTCTCCGCTTCTTCAGGGATTGGCTTCCGAATGACCGCCTCTCCCTACGCCAACTATCCGCTAAGTGCGCTTTCCTCCTCTGTCTCGTATCTTTCCGACGGGTTTCGGACGTTCGGGCCTTCGACGTGGACGCTTTCGAAGTGGCCCCTGAAGGGGTCACGTTTCACATTTCCCGTCGCACTAAGTCGGGTTCGACCTCGGTCTTTTACCCATTTTTTCCCGACGACCCGCAGCTTTGCGTCGTGTCCACCCTCCGCAGGTATGTTTCGGTTACCTCCTCGCTCCGGTCCTCTACGTCGGGCCAACTCTTAGTCTCCTACGTGCGCCCTCACGCCCCAGTCTCGGTCACCACCTTGGCCCGATGGATCCGCTGGATCCTTTCCCTCGCAGGTATAGACCCCGCCTTTCGGCGCCCACTCCGTTCGCGGTGCGGCGGCTTCATCAGCCTTCCTGGCAGGGGCGTCCCTCTCGGATATTCTCAGAACGGCGGACTGGTCTAGGGAATCCACTTTCCGTACATTTTATTTTCGCACTCCCCCTTCTGCTGGGATGTCACTTCTTCAGCGTTAAAATTGCAAAATAGGAAGCCTCCTGTCATGTTATAAAATTGAAGATTATGCTAGCTTTAGTGTACTAATAATCTTAATTTTAATAAGGACAGGAGGCGAGTATTTTCCCTCCCTTTTGTTCCCTACCCTGACTCCTCGGGGGAGTGGATCTTAAGGTGATGGATTTTGGGATTCATATTAGTGGTTCCACTATCTCCTGCACATATTCGGTATCCCTTCCATCTCTATTCCCAGTGTTTCCACCTAGACGGACAGTTTAGTTGTACAACATGCTTACACCTACACATATTTAACCTATGGCCAGCTTACAATCTGTCTGTACTGTTTAATTTACACCATTCTGTTAAAGCCCACAGGCGTGAACAGTTACGGTTCAGTACCTAACCGATTTTATACTCTCCTTTCAGTGTAACCCTCTTCAGGACTTCCACTGGTCGCTGGTTCGTTAACCTCACGACTCCGTAAGATGGGATGACGGCTTCGTTTGGTCTCTCCTCCTATCTCGTTACCAGGAGTCTCCTTAAGTTCCGCTCGCCAGAGACCGCAGTTACCGTTTCATTGAGTTTCTGGATGTTCGAGCTCTATCTGGACTTGGATGTCGCTTTAAGAAAGAGGAAGTGTACAGGCAGCATGACCCTTATATACTATGCTGCTCAGTGATTTATTTGTTACTCTTTACGTTTTCTTTACTGCTGTGGAGTTTAGTAAAGAGAGTTAATGCAAAATACTCGCCTCCTGTCCTTATTAAAATTAAGATTATTAGTACACTAAAGCTAGCATAATCTTCAATTATTATGATTTGGTTCTACAAAAAGTTACCCTCAAGATTCCTTTATAAAATAAGACCATATGGAATGGCTCATTTGAACTTTATTTCAAGACATGTGAACTCATATTGTGCTTAAATCTTTCTTTATAGCCACTAAATAGCATCAAAGACAATGCCAGGAGCCATGGGGTACTCCTCATCATGCCCACCATCTTACTGCTGTTTTCGTAAAATCATGTCTTTCCATCATGAAATAGCAAAATCATGTAATTTTATTCCAAGACACGGAGATGAGTTTTTTCCTGCTTTTTTTTTATTGTATGTTTTGTTTGATTTTGTCATCTCCCATTCCTTTTTCTGTCAGTTTTTTTTTCATCTTCCACTCAATCTGTACCTTTGATTACCAATCTATACCTTAGCGGTGGATCTTCTTCTCTGGGGTCCACAGTGCAGGCATTGGCATTTGTCTACAGGAACTTGGTAGTGTGCTGTGGCTCTTTAACAGCTCCACCAGGCCCCTGTAACATTGGCAGACAATGCTGCGAGGAAGTGAGAGCAGGTCACTTTCTTCTAGCTAACATACATGGAGCCAACTGACTCCCAACAGCCCCAGCCAGCAGAAGCCACCATTCTATACCCAATAGGTAGGGAATGTGAGTGTAGCTAAAAGATAACTAGCATGTGTGTCTGTATGTCTGTGTATCTGTATGCGTGTCAGTGTTTGCATCTGTGTGTCTGTGTATCTGTATGTGTGTAAATGTGTGTATCTTTATGCCTGTGTATCTGTTTGTGTGTCAGTGTTTGTATATATGTCTGGGTATCTGCATAGGTATCAGCAGGGCTGCAATCAGGGTGTGACAGTTGTCATGAACCCTGCGGTTCTGGGGTCCAGATTGCTCGGGAAGACAAAGTGTCCCTCTGGTCTTATACTCCACCAGTTGCGAAAACAAAGTCTCTGACCAAGCCCTGTGTGGCCTATTAAAACCAAAGTCTTTTCATTGGACCTGTGTGAGTGCTCTTCACTATAAGTTCAGACCATGAAGAGCATTTTTATATTAATTTTTAAAAATTGTTTTTCCCACAGAATGCAGCCCCAAGTCTATCCTATCTTACATAGTTACACACACACTGCATACACTACACAAACACATTAAAGAAAAAATATCCAAAAAGCTACCTTACTAGAAAGTAGCCAATAGGAAAGGAACCCAGTCCAATCTCAGTAGTAAGTGTAAAGAATAACAAAATAGCAAAACTTTATTAGAATAAAAGTTAAAACCTAGGGCTAAACAGAGATATCTAGAATCTGATGTGGAGAGAGGAATGACATGCTAAAAGGCTAATAAAAAGCCTAATATGATCGCAGTCCCGAAATAAACAGAAGGGAAAATAAACTAAACAGTGCACACCTCAGGGAATAACAGCAAAGAGAGATAGGAGGAGAAAAGGAGGGAGGATAAATTGAATAGGTCCAGAGTATGCAGAGACCCAAAAGGGGATATAAGACCCCAACTGCTGTAAAGGGATGCAAATAGCAATACTAAACCCATAGACAAAAATCCTTTCCCAAACCTAAAAAATCCCAAATTACAACCATCTCTCTAAGCTAACCCTCTATCTCCTATATAACACCTTCATGGGTGTTCTAATCTAATATCTAGTCTAATATCTCGATCTAGACATCTAAGGCCCCAGGATAAGGATATTAAAATGCCATAGTGCAAAGTGCTCGTGTGTGCTAACAAACAAAAAACCAGACGCGTGTTTTGGCGTGACCGCACGCCGTCCTCAGGGGTATTGAGGTGCTGGAGAAGGGCTCTCATTTGTAACTATTCCGGCATTCAGTAAGTTCAATTGGACTAAGGATGTAAATTTATTTGTGAGGAAACTGGCCTTACATAAGTACCATGCAGTGCGTAAAGAAGTAAAAGGCACAGAGTTTGGGTTTAACACCAAAAGATTTGGAGTGTTTGGATACTCTTGTGGACTTGCTCAGTTCTGGTGATGAAACTGTACATAATGATATTCCATATACAAACTTGAAACTTAAGAGTAGATTCACTCCCCATTTCCAGGATTACAAATATTTGGAGGTATTCCTTGAAATGGTGACTAGGGAAATTAAAAGCATAAATGTGGATGGCCTTCATTTATTCCCGAGAGGGAATTTAGACACACAAGAATTAATGGCTTTAAAAAAACTTCAGAACTATAAGGATTTGATATTTAAACCCTCGGACAAGGGGGGTAATGTGGTGATACTGGACAGAGACCACTATATCCGTATAGCTGAAAGCTTATTATCTGATGGCAACACTTACCGCATATTACCAAAAGACCCTACCAAACAATTCCAGACTGAGTTAAGGGATTTGCTTACAAAGGCTATGAATTATCAACTCATTAATCAACATGAATTTGAATTTATGTGTACAAAACAACCATGTCTATCTACTTTTTATTGTCTGCCTAAAGTACATAAATCCTTAACTGACCCAACCGGAAGGCCTATTGTCTCCGGATGTGGCAATTTGACTCAAAATGTGAGTATCTATGTAGGCAAAATTTTGTCACCAGTAGT